AAATAAAAAAATTTTTAAGAAAAAAAAACCCTAACGTTTTTTTAACCCCAAAAAAAAAAAAAAAAAAAAAAAAAAAAAAAAATCTGCAAGAAAAAATATTAATCGAAGAAGTTTTCTGGGAAAAAACCAAAAATGTCTGACTTTTCAAGCTCAAAGATTTCAGAAAGTCAAAGATTTTCACTTTTTGAAATTTCCACGTTTCTTTCCAGAAAAGATTAATCTTAATTTTTTTTTTTACTTTTCGTGCTCAGAAATTAAGTGTAAAATAAGTTTAACATAACTTAACTTCCAATGTCCTTGCTGAAGCCAAAAATGTTGCCAAATGATTGACGCAATTTTTTTATTTTTTTTTAATTGAATGAGCTTCAACATTTCACATTTCCGCCATTTTCTCAATCTCACCGTCGTCTCTTTCACTTCTCGTTACTGATTGGCTGGGGTGAAGTCACATGATTACCAACTATAAACGTAGCGCAGCGTCTTAAAGGGACATGAACAGAGCCTACCACAGCATAGCCAAAAAAAAGGGAGAAAAAAACTACTTCTCTTTTAACTTTTAATAACCTGAAAAATCACATCAGTCATTCTCATAAATGTTTGTGTCAGTTAATTTTCGGTTTATCACCCAGGCCTCTCCTTGAGGTCATTTTAATAACCAATATTTCCTGAACAAACACCTTAGATGAGCTGTAACAAGGCAAAATTGAGTTTAATTATGTTTAATTTGTTTATACAGCAATTTAATCAAACAAAAGTTAGAGTAAAAAACTTGCTAATGAATAAAAATAGATTTGGGTACAAAGCAAGATAAAACAATTATTAATAAAGCAGTAAAATTAAATTTAAAGCTTTTTGAACAGATTCCAGAGAATAAGCAACTTGAAACTGAAAGCTCTGCCACCCAATCTGCAGATTTAATCTCTTTAGTGATAGACAGAGCTTTATACGTTATATCCACAAGTTCAATTTCGTATTTATTAATTTCTACATACCAGTTGTTTCTTTTTAAAGGAGTTTAAATAATGTCGCCTATCATAATTTAGAGGTAAATATACAATGAAGCAGAAACAATGAAGGGAGAACGACAGTGAGGACAGGAATATTTGTGAAGCTGAATTCAAATTGGAGATAACTCCCAGTCAGACATAGAAGTGCTAAAGGCTGAAAATAAAAGATGAGACAAGTTAAAAAGCAGAAAAAGACAGATTAAAGGAAAGTGTGAACATGAAAAGCAGATGTCTAATTTAAATTTGAGCTGAGCCTCAACAGTTATCTCAACTGCCTTGGGCTAAAACTAAACTATGCTAGCTAGCGGCTAACAGCAAAAATTATGACTTTTCCTGGACTTCCTTTTAATATGAAATCTTGGCTTTATATACCTCTGCAGGTCTTACACATTCATAAATCTCAAATTTAATCATTTCTATGAATGAGAAAACTATGTGCACTAGATAAAATCCACAAGTTAATTTCACGCATTTCATCTGCTACTGTATCAATACGAGGGTGATGTACTAGTTCTTCCCCTTTTTAAATTACATTAATTAAACCACATTAAATAGTAGAACAAACAAACAAACAAACAAACCATGAAAACATGAATTAAAAGCAAAGAAACAGTCATTGTATAAAAAAAAGAGATAAGAAGTTAAAAAAAACAACTCAAGTATTATGGGGAAAACCCCCCAAGTGATTTATGATTCACAATTACTAAAACTATGGAACTAAATTGGGGGCATAAAGTTTGTTCAACAGAAGAAATATTGAAAATGAAGAAAAAAATATATTTGAAACAGAAAAAATATTTTGAATCTGAAAAAAATAGTTTTAAAACTAAGAATACAAATTTGAAGCTTGAAGTTTAAAACCTGAAAATAAGTTTCAAAACTCAAAAAATAAATAAATAAAATAAAAAACTAATTTTGTAATTCAAGTGTTTTTCGCAGGTTCAAAATGGTGTTTCAATTTCCAACTATTTCTTCTTTTTTTTTCTTTTAAACAAACTTTATGGCCTTAATTTAGCTCCATATAAATCATACATTTAATTATCTGATAGACAGAACTATATAAAACACACTGGAATTAATCTGTGAGTTTATATTGAATGCCATTAGCTCTGTCTCCTTAAATAACCAACAAACTGTCAGGTTTTTCCTTCACCGCTGAACATTTAAATTTTGTACATGTGCTAAAATAAAACCAGCAAGCGACAACACTTTAGTAAACATTCAAGTTCAGTTTGAAAAATCATTTAGAGCTTAAAATACAATTAATGGAGTCAAGTCTTTTGATGTCTGCAAAATAGTTTCCAACAACCGACTCGGGTTCATGAGTTGCAGCAGCTTAAAAATATTCACAGTTCTTTGGTGGAAAAAGATTAAATTCTCAAAAAAGCCATGACTTGTGAGCACAACTCCTCCCCCAGCCGCCCAGATCCGTGTGAAGCGCCACTTCACTGCGATGCCAGCAGACTCTGTAAGCCCTGCCAAGAAAAAGACTTGCTTCTCTTGAGAACTTGTACTGTCTAAATTGGCTGCCAAAAGCTGAAGGACACTTGATTGAAGATAAACAAGGGAGTGATGCTTCTGTGTGAGGAGAGAGCTGGAAAAGTCTCAGGAAACAAGTTTTTTATGAAGAAAAATGCCAGTAATGTCAGAAAATGTATCAAAACACAATTCTGCTTCCATTGGTGAATGAATAAAAGAAGGCTTTATTAGACAGAGGCTTGAAGCTGGAAATGGAGAGACTTGCAGCTGACACATTTTTGATGTTTTGTGGTATTTTCTTGCAGAAAAGAATCACCAGTATGTTGGACAATAGTTTTAGTAATAAACCAACACAAAATGCAGCATAATTGAGATGTGGAAAGAACATAACAACCCCCCTTTTTACGACACAGAATTACCAAATAAAAATTGGGAAAAAATTAGTTGGGTTTGCCGCATTTTCATTTTGAGCCACATTAAGATCATAAATATCCTCAAATTTGTGGGAGAATGTATTGATAAAGCTAAAAAATCCCATAAACACAGTGGGTTAATATGCTTTAGATCAATGATGTCCAAACTTTTTGCCAAATTATTAAGTTGAAAGCACTTTGGGGCCACAAAAGTTATTTTAAAGTGACAGTATTATGTGTTTTCCAGCCATAAAGTATCATTTTATAGCACAATTCAGTAATTATATTACCTTCATATATCAAACATGACTTCCAGATTCAACGTCCTGAAATTGGGCCTCCTGCTCCTTCTGACACTCCGCCTTCAGGAAGTCACCACAACAGAAATACTGCCCCTTTAAAACTAACTTTTTGTGCCTTTTTTATTTTATCTGCTCAATAATAAACTATAAATGTAAAGTTTGATTTAAATCAAACTTGTAGAAAATGGATCTGTTAATCATAGTAGGATTTTGTTATTGTCAGACATTTTCAAACTGCATGAGATTGATTATTTTAAATTTTTGGGCTGCAGATGATTTGCGTTTGAGTAAAAGTGGGTTGATGTTTGTGGTTACTCTAAAGCTAAGACGAAAGCAGAAACATCGTTAAGTATTGGCAATCTATTTTTGTACTTCATTTTTATTAAAACAGGATGTGATTTATTTGACAAAAAACTTCCCTACAAGATGAAAAATTGTCCATCTACAGCAACTTGTGCACCACATTTACTCCATTCTAGAGTTGAGGTCGTGTTTGGGGCCGCACTAAATCCTTCAGTGAGCCGTAAATGGCCCACAGGCCGCACTTTGAACATCCTTCTCTTTGGATTAAAGCATGTCCAAGTCCAGACGTGAATCCAGAAAAGTAAATAATCCGTGATAAAACCTTAAAATTGTGCACAGATGACTGAAATGCTGTTCATTACCTATCCTTCAATAAATCTATTCTGTTCCCTTTTCATTTACACATCATCATTTATGTGATTTTACTGGAAGAAAAAAATTTTCTTTGTACTTGAAGCCAAGGAAAAAACGGGGAAAAAATGAGTTAATATTCGCACAGACCACTGATGTTAAAATTGGTCCATCCAGGCCAACTTTCCAATTTTAGAGTGAAATTACAGTCCTTACTACCTCGAAAAGACATTTCTGAGTAATATTTGAAATATTTTACAGAGAACACACTGAGGAAAAAGCCGAACTCCAAGAAAGCCAGAAAGCCAATATCCACCGGTACTTATAAGCCGTACCCGCCTGTTTTTCTCCTTTCAGGCTTATTGGCGTCCAGCTGCTGCTGTTAGCATCCCACATTTGACCCTAAAGGTCATCCCAGAAGTATTGGATAAGGTTGAGGTCAGACTTTTTGCCCCAACTCAGAAAGCAATTCTTTCCGAACAGTCTTTCTACCCGGAGGCGACGTTATTTTAAAATAGGAAAAGTCAGAAATTATTTGAGCTAAACTGATAAAAAATGATCACCATAAGCTGTAATAAAAGCTGCTGGTAAATTGATTAATTCTGTAATAAACATGTAAGGAGAAAAGTATTTATTCAGATTATTTTATGTGGCAGCCACAAATTTGAGGTGTTTTTAATTTATCATACAATTAACTGATGCATTGCTAATTTGCAACAGGTGTAGGTGTGTTTATTAGCTCTAAACGGGCTGAAAGATATCAGAGAACAGCAACACTTTTTGACTCTACTCACCCCGTAAGTAACTCCTTCGTACTGGCAGGAGTCCTGGGATGAGGAGACGCACTCTGGACAGCACTTGTTGGCAGGAATCCTCAGAAATTCACCCTGCAAGATGAAAACACACAAAAACATGAATATAAGCTGAGCCTGACCACACACACACACACACACACACACACACACACACAGCAACCCGGAGTCAGGAAGGGAAAATAAATAACCCACACGAATACAAAGCACATCAAGTTCACCACGTCTATTTCCATGGTTATTAACTGCCAAGAGGTTCCGATAGTAATGAATATATAAGATACACAACATGTGCAGACGTGCAACAAATATTACAATACACCAGGCTGGACTTTTTATTTATTTATTTATTTATTTATTTATGTTTTTTTTTTTTTTTTTGGGCTCTGTTTTCACGCGGTAATTGAGGGCGGAAAGTGTGGCAGGAATCAAATGAGAAAGCAGCAACAGCCGGGCTTCGGTAGTTTAGGCGTTGTTTATCAGGATAAAAATGGTAAGGGACAGAAAAAGTGATAGGAAGAAATACAATTTCAGGAAGGTGAAAATAAACATCCCCACGGAGCTTCAACAGCTGTATTGTGTTAATTGAAAAGGGGCGGGGGGGTGGGGGAGGGGATATACATGGACTGCAGCAGGAGGCAAATTGTTTCTGAACAAGCACAATAAAAATCTACTGCATGAATAGAAAAGGAGAAGCGCGGTCGGTAACAGATCAGTGTTAAAATGCACCTCACAGCTCAGCATCCATCATCCATATATTTCATCTAATGCATTATCCTTTTAGTAGTAAATTACAACACCTAATATAAACCAAGCGTTTTTATATAAACTCACTAACTACGGATGCAGCAGTCAGGATTTTATTAGCGACTTCCGATATTCTTTAAGGCTTGACCTGATTCAAATGTTAAACTCATTTTCCCCAAGTATGAAAAACAGCAGTTATCAAACCACTAACAAAAAGAACAATCTGGACAAATCACTGCTGCAGAATTACAGGCCGACCTCCAACCGTTCATTAATCTGCAAGGTCGTAGAAAAAGTTGTGTTTCAACAGTTAAACAATTTTCCAACCGCCTTGACGTAAAAGTGTTCAATGTCATCCACATAAACACAGATGGTGGAAGAATCACAGTGCAGCTTGTGACACTTGTTGACCATGAAATATTGATGAAACGACTGGAGAGTTGGGTAAGAGTCTCTGATTCTGGTACATAAAGGGGAACTATGATGCAAGAGTCACTTGTTCCATTTGGGCATCAACTGCTTCTAAAAACAGGCCTTAAAAAAAGAACACCAAGCAGCTTTTGGCAATAAGTAGATTTTTTTTTGTCTTTTCTAAAGAGCTCTTTCAAAAACCTCGAGATTCCGTCGTTACCTAGCAACCCCTGCCAAGGCCAGCCTCGTTACCTAGCAACCCAATTTGAGTTCCGGCATGTTTGATCAGCTGGTTTTGCCACTGTATAAACCAGTTTTTCCACGGCTGCTGGAAAAGACAAGGTTTTGTTGCGGACTTATCATCCAGAAACCACTTGCTGTATTCTTGTTGGTTGTGTAGGAGGCTCCACTCCTGCTTTTCAAAATCTGTTTGCAGCCATTATCACATGCAAGTGTAAATGTTGATTTGGGGTCAGCAGCAGCTTATTTTGATTTAAAGTGATAGGAGGCCCTAAAAAAAGTTAATTCTAGACAGAACTGATCAGAACTGATTTTGTGCACAAAAAAATAACAATATTTATGTTTTGTATAACTAATATACCTATCTTAGCCTATTTAAAAAAGCATAAAAGGTCACATTTAACTCGGTTAAATGTGACCATAAATACGCAGAAGTTTCACAGCTCTACATTATGATGTCACCAGTCGACTCCATGCTCTGAACAGATGTTGACAACAAATCAATTACATAACTTTCTCCAGCTAAACAGAAACAAAATTTTATCATCTGGGCCTAGTGATGGACTCTGACCTGAACCTTCAGAAACGCATAAAGACGATTACAAAGTCGGTCTTTTATCACCTGAAGAACATTTTCAGGAATAAAGGTCTGATATCCCATCAAGATTTAGAGAAACTCATAATTGTTTATCTTTTTATGAATATATTACTGCAAGTGTCTTCACATGCCTACCTAAAAGGTCAACCAGACAAAATTCTACATTTCTCTTGCACAGAAAAAAGTTACACAACTTTTGATGTTTTTTTCTGATGATAAATATCAAATGTACTTTTTTTTTTGATAAATGTATGTCTCTCTTTTATCTGTAATGTCCAGAGTAAGCCCCAGGGTGTAAAAAATGTTTTTCACTTGACAGGTTGCTTCAAATAACTATTAAACCAGCACTAAACAATCTGCAGATGCTCCACAGAAAGGTCAGTTTGCAGAGAACAGAAAAAGTAAGATAAATGTGACCTCAAATACCCAAGAAGGGGATTTTAAAAGAAAGGCATTTATTCTGAGCCTGGCAGATGATTCGATCTCCACAGTTTTATCGGTTTGGGTGACGGGGAGTCAGATTTAAAGAGTTTTCTTAATGGTGGGGGTACACGGGTTGCTGAGCATGATGACTAATTTTTAATTAGCGCCGCTTTGCCAGCCAGCAGAGTGGAATCCATCAGACATTGATTGTTGCCTTAACTCAGCGTGGGGATCATATCTGAAGCCATCACTGCAGGCTTCATGTTTAAAATCTCATTTAGGGAGAAAAATGGGATGGAAAAGAGGAATAGATGGAGTTTGGAGATAACTGTTTTTAAAATATGTTTTCAGGGAGTTCCAGCTGAAATGAAACTTGATTCAATGGGGCTAAATGTGACTAAAGCTGCAACCTGCTGCACAAAATGCTCCATGCTGAGAAAAGACATAAGACACATAAATAGGAAAGCATTGCAAACATTTCAGATCAGAAACTTTTTATTTCTGTAATGATTTTTTGTTTTATTACAGATGTGTTTTGATCAATATTCCCATCAATTTTGCAGCGTATTGACCAGTAGTGTTGGTCAATACGCGGCCCATCAGGAGTTTAAAAGGTCTTTTCATCAGTCTAATCCAAGGGTCTGCAACAAACAGCTGCAACTTTGGCCAAACATGTTGAAGACCTAAAAAACTTTTTAAAATAGTAACATGTAAAAAAAAAAAAAATGTTTTTCATTTTCCATTTATTTGGAACAATTACTTCAAGTTTTATTGCCTTCTTGTAAAAATTGTACTTAATTTTTGTCCTAAAAAAACAAAATCACAAATAAATATGTATAGTTTTTAAATAGAAAATAAACTATTATTACAGCAGGTGTTCATAAACTATTTAAAATATTAGTAATGAGGGGAAAAAATTGCTTTTTGGTTTGAAAACGTTGCTGACCCCTGGTCTAATCCTTTATCTCAATCAGGATATAAAATTGTAAAGACTGTTTTTCAAAACATGAGAATAAAATTAACTGGTGAAGCACAAGAATAAATAAATAAAACAAATCCTCTAGAAGAATAGCACACTGCAAAACTACAAGATTTCACAAAGTATTTTTGGTCTAGTTTCCAGTCAGATTATTTCACTTATAATGTGGGAAAAGTGTCATAAGTGAAATAATCTGACAGTGGAACTACTTTTAATCAATATTAATGAATTATTGACTTAAAACAAGCTCCTGTATGTTTCTAAATCGTTACTTGTAAGTTACTTATGTCTTATTTCAGGTGCACTACAATATTTGCACTAGAAACTGGAACAAAAATATTTAAGATATTGTGTTTGTGCAGTGGAACATCTGAAATCTTGTCTTTACAAACAAAGAAGTCCAACAAAGACTTGAGACGTCCCCTATCAAAGAAATGCCTTCAAAGACCTTTTTAAAGTCTGGAGTCTGTATGCTTTATGTAAGAATGGGATAATTGAAGACTTCATGCATCAAGGCCACTAGCAGTTAAAAAAAGCACAAAGATAATCATTTGTCAGATCTAGAAAGGCACTTAAAAAGATTGAAGGAGATTTATTCAGACATTTAGATACTGTCTGTCTTCCAAATGCATCACAAATTATAGGATTTCCTAAATTCTCAAGACATTTCTTTTGTTCTTTTTAAACAAACAACAATGGAAAAGCCTGTCGGTTTGAAGTGCTCACCCTTTGGAAGTCACACTGGGGGTTTGGGCAGTGGACCGGCCTGCAGATGGAAACGTCGCTGTAGCAGGTACACTCCTGACACGCCTCGGGCCGCCATGATGAGTTGTTCTGTAGAGACAAACATGAAAACAACTATTAGTCAACTAATTATTATTTGTGAAAGCAAAGAGCTTTTATTTTTCTTTAAATCAAAGCTCTTGAGGAATGTTGCAGCGAGGTAAACACTTTTGGCAGTAGTAATATTTCTAATGTGTCTTTTGACAATAGAGCTGCACAATATATTGTACTTTTCCTGGAATAGTAAGTTGTTTCTCCACCATTAGCACATTTAGCAGTACACGGGGGTGATTGACAGCATTAAGACACACCTCCTGGCTCTGATTGGTTATTTTTGACATGGAGAGGTGCATTTTTCCAGATATAGTCTCCCAACATAGTGACAGTTTTAGCAATGTTTATAAAATAAAACATAATTTTTTTATGAAAAAAAGAACAAAACAGTGTTGATTCCTGCTTCAAGCAGAGTAAACCTGCATTACCGCTGTTAAGTCTCGCAGCCAGTGAGACAGAGACAAACCAATGAGGCAGAGTATGCAGATTTCTGCTTTGCTCACTTTAACATGCCTGCTGGTCGTAGTAGCTAATCCCACCTGGCTGACAATGTCTTATGAATAGCTTAAAGCCAAAACTAAATCAATATTCCAGTGCCCGCATATGCTGAAATATATCATCACCCAGATCATGAATCTGATTCAGAAGAATGATTAATGTCCCGCTCATGACAGGAATGAGCCGTGGAGTTCGTGTCCGTTCGTGGCTGACACGCAGCAGATCTGTTAAAGGACGTCTGGCTTTAACCTCGAGGCTTAACATTTACAAACGGAAATGTGAAAGGGTCAAAAACGGCTGCAAACAAACACCAGCAGGGAAGGGAAACTACCAACGGGATTATTTGTTTTCACTAGTCGACGGAAAATCCCTTAAGTCTTAAAGTCGGAGCTCAGCAGCCTGACTGCATCAGAAAACCCAACCGATAAGTTAATGAAAAATAAACAGAACCTCAACAAAACAAACAAAAGACTAGTTTAGATAGACACAAAAGGTTGATTTGGTAACTATACACCAAATTCCAGACTTTGGAAGTCCAATAAAAAGTTCTGCAAAGTTCCTGTCAAAAATAAAAATAAGAAAAACTGAGAATCTGACAGAGAAAAAATAAAGTCAGATTTTATTTATAGAAAAAAACAGAACCAGGTAAGAGAAATAATTCCAGAATACAAAACACAAAAACCATACAGGCGCAGCCTACAGGTTAAAGTTTATGGTCAAATAGTTTTAACAAATAAATAATGTTCAGTTCTCCCACTTTCACTTTGAGTAAATATGTTCATTCATAGTTTCATGTATTGTTGCCCTGCGCAGTTACAACTTGTTGAGCATTTGACCTTTCAGTTGCATTGTAATGTACTGAAATTAACTAGGAGCTGAAACGATTAAACTGATTAATCGTGATTAATCAATTTTTGAAGTAATTGTCAACTAATTTAGTATTTGATTAGTTGTTAACCAAATATAAAGACTAAAAAAGGCCAAATAAAAACATACTTGGAGCAATAATCAACCCAAAACTGTATAAAAATATTTAAGATCTAAATATAAGCATATTTATATCTTGGTTTTAGCTGAACCTGGTTTAAGGTCAGTAAAAATAATCTCCTATTAAGCACATTTTGCTACACATTACTGATGCTAAGTCAAGCATAAAGTGCTGAGCTTTTCACATGTTGGTGTTAGAAATATCAAAGTATCAAACAATCAAGAGTACACAAAAGGAATGCTTGTTTTGAATTTAAGAAAGAAATGGAATTGTTTATTTGCATGTCTTAATGTACTTTTAGTGAAAAACAAGATTAATTGGCAGCGCTAAGACTCACCTTCTGGCTCTTATTGGTTCTTTTTCTTTGGAAGTGGTGCATTTAATCAACAATATGATGCTCAGGGAAGAGAGAGGAGATTGATCTTTTCACATATTATCTGTCTCATATTATACAGTCACAACATGGTGACAGTTTTAACAAATATATAAAAAACATTCTTGGACATCCTAAAACCTCCAACTTCTTTCTCCTAGTATTCTCTGAGGTCATCCTCTGAGGTTAAACTGAAACAAGCTTAACAAACTTAAGCTTGTTTCAGATTAAGTTACCTGAAACAAGCTAACTTAAGCTAATTAAGTATGTAAAAAAACATTATTGGACATCCAATTCAATTTCTAACTTAATTAGCTTGTTTACCTGAAAAAATAAAAAATAAATCAGAATTATTTTTGTTTGGACTGTGTGCCCCACACAGCTGTGATGAGTGTACATCCATCCGTCAACATAAAGCACAGGACAGATAGCTGCATGCTGCTTTATTAGGTTATTTTGAGCTTATCCATCCAGAGTCAGCAGTTTGAACCACATAACCAGCACATGGGGGTCTTAGTCATTATTATGGGAAGATATGCAGCCCTGAATCACAGCAGGAGGCTTTTTTGGCAGCACAGCTGGCTAATTGAGGTAATAAACTATGACAGAAACCAACAAAGCAGCATCACATAACAGTTTGGGGCCATTAGGAGGTCTTGGATAAGCAATGTATCAGCTACAACATAAAAACAACTTTTTTAATACTGTGACAGTCCCCACTGAACAAGGAGCTCTAAACTCTAGAGTTTTTACAAAAACTGCAAGGTTAACGTCATTTTTCCGCTGATTTGCTCTAAAACCAACAGAATCAGACTTTTCTCCTCCTTCACTGTGTAACAAATTCAATTAAATCAAAATGTAGCTGTTTTATCCTGGAGATAACACAAACAATCATTCCTGAAAAACTATCACTTAAAGGGACAGTGTCATTTAAAATCAACTTATTTTTTAGTTTTCCATCATGTTATAATGTTGCCTTGATTTTTTCATGCATGTTTGAGAAATCCTTTAATCTCCATGGAAACCATTCAGCTGTACAAAATGCCTGGGTGGACCTAGCCCCGCCTTCAAGGCACAGCTCCTCCTCTGAGCTGCAGTTTCCAAGCTTACGCCTCGTAGACTGCCCCTCCCCCACTACTTTCCCACTCAACTCCTTCAGACTAGCCAGTAGCAATTAGCAAGCATCTGCTGAGCTCATTTTCGGAGCTTCTTCTCAGTGCAACTCTGGTATAAATGTTAAAGGGTTAATGTAAGAGCTATGTTGTTATGACTTCCTGAAGGCGGAGTTTAAGAAAGAGCAGGAGCTTCTTAAAGAGACAGGCCCAATTTCAAGCCGTTAAATTAGAAAGTCAAATTTCTTTTTAAGTCATGTTTGATATATGCAGCATTTTTATAACAACTGAAGTCAACATAGTTACTTGATTGTGCTATAAAAGGCACAAGGTGCCTGGGAAATACATAATTCTGCCCCTCCGACACATTTAACTGTGACTTTCCAGGTGTGGCTCTGACCAGACGTATTGTGATATTTTATTGTGATCTTCTCTGCATTAAAGACCTCTGTGAATGGCTGTATTATTTCTGGACAGACAGAAGATGGAAGAACAATATTTAAACCAACTTCTAATCTGGCAGATTCAGAAAAAATAGAATAAATCAAACAAAACCGAATCCTGTTTCAGATTCTGCCAGTCTTTGATTTTTGAACCTAGACTGATTTAGATTGTGGTTTTGTGTTTATTATGGTTTCAGCTTAGGTTTCATTCTTTTGGATTTTAGATTTTATGGGTATCTTTTTGCAGTTTTGCCTAGCTTCTGTTTTTAGAGCATCTCCAGCCCTCCAGAGCTACCTGCAACTTTTAGATGGATTCCTTCTCCAACAGATCTAAATCAGAGGAATGGCTCGTTACCAGACTTCTGCAGCGCTGACTGACAGCTGGTGAGAATATTCAGCTTTTTGATTCAGGTGAGTTGGAGCAACAATGCATCTAAAAGTTGCAGGATGGTAACTCTTCAGTTGCATATTGCTGGCCAGCAGGAGGAAGTTGGAGTCTCTGGTGGAAATTCATACAAACAGGCAACAGCGCTAATCATCAGGCGACTCTGCAGCCTGTAGCTCCAAGCACAACTTATTAAATTATGAAATTTAAAAGCTGAGAGTATCAGATAGCACCATCTTTTGAAACTTTACATGATTTTCCTGAGCCAAACTTTCTGATCCCCCTGCAGCAGCTTGAATATTGGAAAAATATGGCATCAGGCTGCCAAAACATATTAAATGAACTAATTACCCCGTTTCCCTTCAGGAGGTTCAGCAACAGTTTTTTGCAATTTGAAGGTAAAATCAACTCATGATAAAATATTTGCATCACCCCATCCTAAATTAGGGATGGGGTGGTGTCACTGAGGTTAATAATAAGCCAGAGAACATGTTGATATGTGGTCAGAAATAATGTTTCCTGTTATGGCTCCCTGATGGTCTTTCATGTCTCCCTGAATAGAGGCGAGTAAAATTAGCAGAGCTGCAAATGTATGTAACTGACTGGACAGTCTCACAGCTTAGAGTGAATTTCAGTTCAGTTTTTAGCAGGAAAACATTTCAATTCTGAGCCGAGCATAGTCAGAATTGGATCTTTTTATTCCAAAATTGGCCTTTTAACCTCTGTCCACATTAAGATGAGTAACAGCCAACTCAAACTTCGGCTATGACTGAGAAAGCAGCTCCTACTAAACTGTACCATCTATTTTTTGCTCAGAAAATTGGATCCACGTTTCTGCATCAGTTCTAAATCGGATTAGAAATCTTTCCCCAGGAAGAGATGTAAAAAGTCCCCAACTCCTTAAGGGTTTAATCTCAGGTGAATCCCCGCTAAAGACCCCATCTACATTACTCAATATATATTTTTATCTATTTGTAAAATAAATTAATAATCCATCCACACAAACTCAGGAATTTAGAGAAAATGTGAAAATACCCACAGTGTGCAAGGATAGCAGCTCAGGTTTGAATGTAAACAGAGTAATGTCAGAGTGACACAAATGTGGGAAAAAATTACTGTGAAGAAAAATAAAAAAAGGTCTTGGTTGATCATAAAACGTGAATATGACTGATGGATTCCCTTTTTTAAGAGAAAATAT